CCATACTTGAAACTGTACAATTTGGGGCCAGATTTTAATGTGGTGCATTTTTTGTATTAATGAAGTGCCACATAAATTGTTGTATTCAGAAATGTACTGTATTCGGTTTGTACTAGAGGAAAATATATTTTGTGTGAGTGCAAAAAACTTATAATACTAATAATCAAATGTGTTATGCAAATTATTTCAGTATAAACCCAAATTATAAAGCTTGTTAATATATTATGAAAAATTTGTTTTGACAATTGTACATGTAATCTGATTTTCAAATCTTATTGTAATAAAAATAAATAAACTTGATGTTAATATAATTTACCTTACCATGGATTCATTCATTGTGAAAGATCCAATTTTGGAGGAACAAAAATGCAATACAGTACTACATAAGGACGCAAGATGGTTTTCATACTTGTCTAAGTTTTACACTTGGGAGTCTGAGAACAATCTGCAGGTTATTTTTCTGACAGGTGACACTATAAAGAAAGATCCTCTTGCTATAAGAATTTTAACTCTGAATCCAGAAAAGAAATGACCTTGCAACTCACTTGTTGGTAGAAATGTATAAATTGTTACTATACTTATTCATATTAAAATGAAAATTATATTATTCCAGCACTAGGAATAATAGACCCAGGAACTGAACCCAATAGAATGTTTAGCTAAGCAAGTTACATAACTGATCCCAAGAGGGCCTGACACAAGAAGTGAGTTTATTTATTATGGATCTCGCTCCCATCTTGTGGGCGAGTGGTAAAAAAGTTTTAATGGCATTATGGGTCCAAGAACTGGATTCCCAACAATCTCTGCTAATAAATTACATTATAGTGAGCTAGTTAAATATAATTGTAAATTGCCCCCTCATACACCCCACACCCGCTATAGTAGGCAGCGCTGGGAAGATTAGTCATGTGCAAGCACTACTTACAGTTGGCTCCCTTTTGTCCATATTACAGTCTCACTTACATTCATGAACCTTATAGAATGTTCAGAATTTCAGGATGATCATTGGTTTTGCATTTCCAAGTGTCCCTCCAGGTGAAGACTAAATCACACACCAGAAAATGAGACGACTACATTTTGGTCCATCCTGGACCTTTTATAAAGTTGATTGTAATGGGAGCAAAGGAGGCACGGGAAGGCAAAAGGTATGGATGGGATGGGTGTAATAATGGGGGGTAATTACATATGGTTCAGATATCATACTTGATAATGGTCCAGGATGGAACGAAACGTTGTCGTCTCCTCATCTTCTGGTCTGTGGTTTTGTCTTCATATCTTCAGCCACCTTATTGTAACTCATCGTCTGCTTCCTTCCAGGTCATTTATCCCTTGATAGAATCCTCGGCAAATTCGATACCTTTGATGACTCTTGCCTTATGTTCTTTTATTCTTGTGTTGGCATCCTGAGTGATATTTAGCACCTTTTGAAAAACCTGCGACACAGATGGTGCTACAGTCATCCTGGCATGGTTTCTTCTTTTGATAATTACTTACTTGCTTCAGACACAAGCATATTACAGTTATGTCTTGAGGAGTTGAGTGCAATTAGAGACAAGTTACTTAAGTTAATGTGTCAACTTTGAATACATACAGTAATTGTTTGAAGAGTGGAGGCCCAGTTATTTATACAATCTCCCCACTCCTAATAGGAACCATCTCATTATCATGATAACTGCATTTCTGGCAGCACCAGTGGAATGGTGTAGGGAATCATCAGTGCAAATGGTTTGAGAGAAGGATGCTCGGCTTAAAAAGCTTAAAAATTTTATGTTGTTTCAAGTCGAGAAAAGTGTCCTGTTTTTTTTTTTTAAGAGAAAGATCATTAACATGATACATTTAGAGTTCAGTTGCAGTTTTACTAGTGTATTTTGAGGTGCTGATTTTTTATGAGGAAGGCTTGAAAGGCATTTGTACAGGTGTTAAGGTGGGTTAGCTTAAGCCTCTTAATGACAATTAAAGCATTGATTTCAATGATTCAATCACTTATGCATAAGATAAGTGATTGAATTGATAAGTACCCTTCTCATTTAAGTAACTTAGTTGTATGAGGGTATCCGAGAATGATCATGACTTTTTCAGCTCACCAAGCATTCTTTTGGGCACTAGAGCAAGCAGGGATGCAGTATGGTCTGTCATGAATTTAATATTGGGTATATGAAAGGCACATAATTTTTGCAATACTGACGATTGTGTCATTGCTGGGATGATACCCTGCAACAACCCCAGAAGCCTGAGGCCCTCTACATTGGCAATCCAGTTTGCGTTCAATGTGGCTGTACCGTAGTACCCCCAAGGCCATAGTATTTGAATCTGGATACATAGTTAAGCTGAGAGCCATAATAATGAATAATAATTCATTGTGTCGTGAAACAGGAAGCCAATGTATACGTGTATGTTAAGCTTATATCGAGGTCCACCCCAAAAGGGTCGAATTAATTACCCTTTCCTGGATACAACCCCACAAAACGCTGACTAACTCATGGGTATCTATTTACTGTAGGTGAGCATTTGCATTAGATTGGTAGGAAATGAGCCCAACCATTTTTCTCCCCGCTCCCTTTTTCGGATTCGAACCCGGAATTATCGATTTAATTGAGAACGAACCCGACTGTGAATCTTTCAAACAGGCCCTCCCCATCTGGATGTCCACAGATTCCGATTTTTTTCCAGCTTAGATAACTAAGCCCATGGGTGTAGGTGGGTGAGGGAGCAACCTCTGGTCCCAGTAGGGGGGTAGAAATAGCCTAAGCTGCTCTATCCCTTTGAGATGTATTTCTTTCTTGTCTCAATAAACATACTTGAACTTGAACTCTGGTCCCCTGCCCAGGAGGAAGAGGCGGCCAGCAGCTGCGCCAAGTCACAGCCGGTCGCAGCCAGCGGCTCTCCACCCCCACGGCGTGCAGCAGGTGTCAACCCTCGTAATGGTACGTGTTCATTACTGTGTTATTGAAGCTGTTGTCCTTGTCGCTCTACCGCAGGAGGTGAGCAAGGGGTTGGCCGCTGTTGCATGTGCTAGCAGCATGGCGCCCACATCGCTAGTTGGCTCAGGTGCAGAACTTTTTTAGTAAAGTACAGGATAAGAAAATAGATGTCTCGGGTTACTTATCCACAGTGATAACACTCCACTTCGTAATGTGGTGTTACACACGATCATAATGTGCTACTGTTACATGGGCAGTTGGACAATTTACCACAGACTGCCCTGTCTTATTAATGCAGTCTAAACTCTGCTTGGAGTCACCAGAGACTTCACCGGCTGGACCTGGACGTGCACAGTGATGTGGCCCCGGGGTGTCAATGTCCTGGGGGGGGGGGGCTTGTACAGGGTAACCACTTCTAAACGCACTTCGTAATTAGTGTTTTTATGTACTTTCTATTACTTAGGTTAAGGTTTGGTTAAATTAGATTTGGTTAGGCTAGGCTAGTCTAGGTTAGGCTAGGCTAGGCTAGTCTAGGTTAGGCTAGGCTAGTCTAGGTTAGGCTAGGCTAGTCTAGGTTAGGCTAGGCTAGTCTAGGTTAGGCTAGGCTAGTCTAGGTTAGGCTAGGCTAGGCTAGTCTAGGTTAGGCTAGGCTAGGCTAGTCTAGGTTAGGCTAGGCTAGGCTAGTCTAGGTTAGGCTAGGCCAATGCATTGCATCCTCAGACATGTGAAACGTGAAATTCTGGCCTGCTTGAATATTCCCTGGAATTTAACATTAAAGAAAACATTGCCCTTAGGCTTATTAAATAAAACATGTATATCAGAGTACACGTAAAATTTAACGGCTGGATATATAATTCGTTCTGTTGGTGACAGGCACTCTCTATGTATATGTGTGTCTATATATATATATATATATATATATATATATATATATATATATATATATATATATATATATATATATATATATATATATATATATATCTACTGCAGATGATGAGTCACAATAACGTGGCTGAAGAATGCTGACCAGACCACACACTAGAAGATGAAAAGACGACGACGTTTCGGTCCATACTGGACCATTATCAAGTCGATTGTGTGGGATTCTAATGTGTGGTTTGGTCAACACATATATTTACTGTCGGTATACTATAATGTATCTACTGTATATGCTTTAGGCTTGTATGGAGGTCCCCCTAAGGCCAAACTATTGATCTTCCCCAGGACGCAACCTCACATCAGTTGATTAACTCCCGGATATTTATTTTCAATTAGGTGAAAGGAAACGCGCCCAACCATCTCTGCTCCGCTGGGGTTTCGAACCTGGGCTTCCTGATTGTGAATTGAAAATTAACCGAACTACTACCGAGAATATTCTCTGTTTAGGACAAAATGTTCACTTACGTTTACCAGTAGACTATTATATTGGAAGCTAAATAAGTCTTCAGTGCATCACAGATATGTGATGATATATCTAGAGTACCGAGTGGGGTTAACGAGCGAGGAAGTCCGCTCTGGTATAGTCACTTAGGCTTGAGCAAGGGCCGCAATTTAGTTCAGATAAACCAGGTGCAAGGATACATTGCATGAAGGTTGCACATGACATATTGCTGTTGTCAGCTAATACAAATGCAAATAGTAACACTAATTTCTGTCGTTTTTTTAGATTTATCTGAAACTGAGATGGGACTAGTTTTAAAGATTATACCAAATTTTGCACATTAAATGGTTCGCTATAGGAATTTTTGTTGTATTTAAACCTAACTTGACCTAATCTAATTTAGCCAAACTTAATAGCCATCTACACCTAATGTTATATACGGTTTGAACATTTAGAAAACGAGCTTTTTTGTTTACGATTTGACGGTAGCCAGTTTTAATTTGAGGTTGGGCAGCTCAGCTGTTGTAGGTATTTCGACTTGGGTTATTGTGTATAAACTGGGGGATATTTTTAGGGCTGGGCTTTAGAAGGATACATGAATACCGTCACAAAAATTATGTATGCATAGAATAGCTATAGTTCATGCATATAGCCTAAAGTCACACAATAATGAAACCAGTAAGAAAAATCCACTGTAACATTATAATTTATTATATTCTATCAAATATCGATAAACGAGAATAAGTAGCTATCCATAATACACTCTTCAGGATGTGATCAACAGCAAGAAATAATAACATGGCACAAGCATTTGGATTTAAATTGTACATTGGTAAGAACAAAATATACAAGTATTTGTACAGATAAATCATAACCATAATCAGATTTTACACCTAATATATAGGGAGGAAAGTTTGTTTCATTCATTTATTATGCACCCCATACCCATACCGTGGGCGGTAGTGGAAAGAAATGATCAACTCTTATAGCTACCATAGTTTTAACAGAAGTTATGTCTCTTGGTGAAGCCCAGAACACATTTATCACATTTAAAATATTCACGTAACACAAAATGCTCGTTACAGATTTTTGACACTTCCACTGAATAGGTTAGATAAAGTTAGAATTGATAATGCAAATTAAATTTATGGGAAATAAAATAAATATAGGTGGCAATAAAGGATTGTAGAGCACACAGCACAATGAAACTCTATGCTTGTAACGCAAACAATGAAAGTAACTTAAAAGACTTGGGCTTGAGGAAAAATAGTTTTTATCTGATTATGATAAGATTAAATTGTCTTTATCCAAGTAACATTAAGACTTATCTAATAACACTGAATTATATTAAGTTATATTAACATAACAGAAAATCACAATTAGACTTTGCAAATCTCGATTTGCTATCAACTTCGTATAAAATTCGCTTGTAATTCATACTGCGTCCAGTTGTCGAGCTTAACTCGCTAAAAGCTGCTATCTTGCTTCCCACAGAGCACAGGATCTGGGGTCTTAGTACAAAAAAGATGGAATCGATGGGATGTCGTCAGCAAATAACATCTCACACTGAGGACGTGGCTGATGTTGTGTTAGGCTGGGTAGACTATTAACGTGTCTATAATATTATTGAAATTATTCATTCATTCCAATCTGCCTTCTAGTATGGCGTAGGCACGAACGCAACCAATGCCTTAAATTTTTTAATATTAACCGCTAGATGTTACTATTTGCTGTTTGGTTCTAGTCTGGAGAAAAACCACGCGTTCAAAAGTTAATCACACAAAGATACTTGCACAAGAAACACGAATAATTAGTAATTTTCGTGTGAACTAATCTTGAGTCAAATGGCTAGACAATACTCATCACGTAGTATATATGTACGTATATTTGTCTTGATTGCACTGTATTTACAAGTGAAACCACGCCAGGAAACCAACAAAGGGTTTAAGGTCTGCGCGGGGTATTGGATATCACAGTCGGAGCTTCAAAACTAATAATAAATACAACAAAAAGTAGTCATTTGACCGCCTCTAGATCTCGGTTCCCTTACCATAATTACTGAATAAAAAAAAGTTAATTTGATCCATATACTCTCTTTTGGCAATACATTGTTATTAGGAAAATGCTTAAATTGATGCGAGTGCTGCCGGTACCGAGGAGGCGGGATAACTGCCCGGGATTTACTGTCCGAAACGCTGCGCGTACTAGTGGCTTTACAAGATTGTAATTACTATCCTATGTATCCTCACAATCCCATTGTACCTTCTTGTATATACGTAAATAAATAAATAAAATAAATAACTCCCCTACAGGATTACCGCACCACGTATTGACAGCGGACGATCCATTTACCTCTACAATTACCACCTCGGTAACGATATAATAAACCCAAGTTTATATTTTATGTGGTGGAAGTCTAAGAAAAACTAATTATTATGGAAATTAATTCTTCTCGAGAACTGACTTATCCCAGATATATTTTATACAGTGGCGCCTGTAACTGGGAGTGCATACGAACACCGGGCTGGAGGCGGCCATGTTAACCTTGTGTCACCTGCACACATGAGCGTCACACCACTAATTAGTGTCTTAAGGCAACGGTCAAATGTGATTAAATGAGCTGGAAACGGGTGAAAAAGTGTCAACTTAGCATGGTTGGCATCACAGGCTATACAGAGTCTTAAGGCACTATGACAAGACGAGGACACAAAGGTACACATTCTGAGGAAACATTTATAAAGCATTATAGCGCTTAGAAAACACACATACGACCATGCACGTATGTAAACATGATCATTGGTTATAATACGAGCATATAAGGAAAGGAGTTTGTTGTAAATACTTAAACACTGATGTTAAACAGGCAAAGTGAGAAGAGTTGCACTAACAGCCACACACACAAATCTTGGAAATAAATTCATTTTCAAAACCGTCCCCCTCCCTAAAAAAATAAAAAATTCTTATCAAAGCTTAAAGTTTAAACAAACTAGAATAAAACATAAAACAGCACGCAGTTGACACTCTTAAAGATAACTGCCTAATTGCATAAAACTACCGGTCAAGCAAGTTAACTATAATCCGACCTCGTCAAATAAGATATATTTATTTTTCCTTGTGAAATAAGATATAATCTGCTCTTGCCAAGAAAATTACATTAATATGCCATCTGCTTTCGACACTCACAATTTCTTCATCAGTTTTTGCAAAGTAAAATATTTTAACATGTTTCTCTATATTAATGAACATATTGGTGCACCGTTTAATTTGGTAACACTAATATAATTCTGGGCAACAACTGATGATGGATATTGTTAACGTAACCGCGATGGTACTTGGGTTACGTCTTGGCACAGGAAATAGTGTGCATCAAGATGGTGGTCCGGCAGGCGAGAGAGCCGTGAGTGGCCGTAGTGGGGAGGGAGGAGTTCCTCTGTAGGAGACACTGGTGGAGAGAGACACGCAAGGACAACACGAGAGGATAAGACAGACGAATGGAAAGATCAGCAAACATGAACATTAACGAAACAAAGGAGCCGTCATGGAGTAAGAACCTGAATTCTTTTGAACCTGAATTAGTTCTGTACATGTCTGTCTCTGTAAAGAAGAGGGTCTCAATAGAGACCAAAATATACAAAAGCTCATTTAATTCCTTTTTCTTTCTCCATGTTGGTACCTTTGTGCCACTGACCAGTGATTTTTACACTTGTCACTGGATGAACACCAATGTAACTACATGCATACTATTACAGTTAGTGACAATACTGATAATCGTCTCGTAGGTATACATTTAGCAAACATATGTTACAACATGTACGTCACGTATGTAGCCAGATGTTTCGTTTACCTTGAGGTATATGACCAGTGTTTCTAGTGTACAAGCTCTGTTACATCATTGTTTCATCGTCTGCCCGTCATTGTGTCATCTCTAACTAATATCTGTTGAATCAAAGGTTTCCTGAATCCATTTCAGTTTATTTTTATTAGTTTACAGATCATTTTCTTCTTGAGTTCATGTATTCATTGTATTCCTGTCAAATTAACATATAGTTCGGATACACGTCTTGTTCGTCTGTATCTAACGATGAGGTATGATGAGTCTCGAGGATGAAAGGAAACTTGTTTACCACAGCAGGGAGACCCCAGGCTTTCTGCGCCAGCTTGGAGGGCCTTACACGTCCTTTCTTTTGACGCAAAACAATTCACAAATTTGTATCACTTGTTTCACTGTCTAAGAGAATGTTACGCCGCATCTTCTTGAGCATAAATGGTTGCCGACGAGTGGAACAGATCGTCACACCGAGTCTGTGTTTTTATTCATACTGGTGAGCTCAAGTGACGCTTGTTTCAGCTTTAGCCATTTGATAGAACTCAGACATACATCAGCATAACGTATAACAGTATGAAGGAGTTGAAGAATGTTGATAACAGTATGAAGGGTAAAAAAATATATTGCGGTATAAAGGACCCGAAATCCACGGTTGATGAACCTAAGACATGACGGAGAATGAGGGATCTTACTGGGACTAACGTCCAGGGAAGATATAAATGCGATTCCTCTGCTCTTAAAAACTAAGAACCAACATTCTCTATTGTGTACTTTAAAGCTAGCATGTAGATTGTGTACAACAGGGAATAAAGTACTCAGTTGCAACCCAGTTGCCAGTCGTAAATATTTTTTTTTGCTAGACAATGTTTCTTCTGAGGGCTACGCCAGTCTGCTCAGTATTTGTTGTGCGAGTCACGGAGGAGGGAAGAAGAGTTCTTTCTAACGATAGCTCTTGGAACGGCCCAGTTGTCGTGCTCAACGAAGTCCGCCATGATGATATTCGCGCCAGGGGGTTCATTTGACAACTTCTCCAGCCAGTCTGGTATTACTCTGTTGGTGGGAGCAACCATCGCTCTCTCCAGCCTGGCGAACACGTTCCTCGCGACGTAAGCCAATGACGGCGTCAGTACACACCTGCGGGATGAACGAGTCGTACAGATAACGAAAATATATATAACCAACTAAACGCTCTCGCTTGTATGAATGATTTAGTTTTATTTAATATTACATTGTATATATCAAAACTTCAGACGTTAACTTATCTGCCATAAGGGTTTCACATTATATTTTCCCTAAGCGTGAGCCGCTGGTATCCTATTGAAGACTTTCATAGGACAAGCACGTCCTAGATTTTATCTTTGAGCTGAAGTGCTTAGAATGAGAGCACTGATTGCAACCAGTGTACGAAGACTTGTGTATTTACTACGGGTGGTCACAGTAATATGCATTACACGATTGCTCGTACACTAATTAGTATACATAATATTAGTCTGGAGTTGACGTACTGGGTGACGAAGAAGCTGGCGGGGTCCCTCTCCTGAAGCTTGGCCTCGAGGAAGGTGAGCATCCTGGAGACGGTGGTGGCTTCCGGCCAGGGGTTGGGGAGAGAGGCGCTCGACCACAGCCACGACACCGCCTGCATCGTCTCCGAGTGACGGTAGAACACCAGCACCTGAGAGATTATGGCAGTGCTTCCATACTTCAAACAGTCTCATGGAAGCCAAGCTAAATAAACAGCTGAGACACAAGCTTAACATTCCTCGCAGTTCTCATCTTCAGTTGCTCCACAATAATCATATAGGGTAAACTGATATATTCTAAAGGAAAATAAATTTAATTTGTCTTTTTTAATATCTGTTGTGCTGATTGTTTTTAATGTTATCTGTGCAGTGAAGGTTTTAGTGATAATTGTGTTTTCTGGAGGTTCTGTTAATTTCTTAGTGATATCTATTTCATATCTTATTAATTTAGCTTTTTTGTTTGGTAGCTAAGGAGGTCGAGTCGCAGGAGGTCCTCACCTGGTACTTGGAGTGAGAGAGGTAGGAGAGGGAGAGGTGGTGCACCCTGTGGAAGTACGGGCACAGGAGGTCGCTGAAGACCTGCTCGACGAAGGCGACGAGGGACGTGTGGTCGCTGGCGCTCAACCCGTGAAAGTGCTGGAAGTCGAGGAGCACTACTTCACCCGGGTGTCTCACCAGGAAGTGCCGGATCTGCAAGTGTAGTCGCTGGATATATAGCTACATCTGCTCTGTCGTCTGAACGGTATGTTGAGTTTTGTACTTTAGGTGAAGCCACTGTATAATATTTGAAGGCACCCTGTCTTGTATGTAAGTTGATCGGATATAAAGGCGTGGTCAATATACACGCTCCTCCAATATCCAGTTAAACTATATATAATTTTGTGAATGGACATTGTACCTGATCTCGAAAATAAAAGCATTTGTGGGAGAGCTTTAGTAGATCTCGAGATATAATCACTATATAAAGTAACAATAATTATATCAGTGTATAAAGTAAATCTGAGTAGTTTACACACACTACTCTAAGATGTATGTATATTCACACTTGTCTTCCTGGTTTTCATAATTGCAAACTATAATTGTTAAACTGATACTGTAGTATCACTTTTGAAAAATTTAGGCTGGATTTTTGGTAAGAAAAAGTAAGACTGTACTAGTGAAACATGGGTGTCACGATCCGAAGAGTTTCGTAGTGACATCAGAAATTACAGAATCTGAAAGGAATGAAAGGACTAGTACAAAAAACTATAATATATTTAGATCCGAAAACCTGCTTATGTGGGCAACACAAAACGTCGACCAGCCTGTGCGACACAGTGGTTGCCAGGATCAGGTTGAGTTACCGTTACCTGTGGCTACAGGTGACGGATCTCCCAATCCTGAGCACTCCAGGTGCAAACTCTGTGAGCAGGAACTGCGGCATGATCTTCCACACTATAATATTGAATGTCTATTCATTAGACCCTCCATACCTGTCGGCATGAGGTACCTGGAACTTTGCAATTACTTTATTCGCTCTCGCGTTCTTGACGATATCCTCATAAATACACCGAAATTTTGTCAGTGCAGGCTACTGATCGCATGCCCCTGTATAACAAACCCTCCTATGAGACTGAGGTATTTTAGCACCTAGTAGTTAGCCTTCCTCCAGTTCTCCACCTTCCCTACTCTTCTCCCTCCTTCCCTTCCCTTCACTATCTTTCCTACACTTCACCATCTTTCCTACTTTTCACCTCCGTCACAACCTTCCTTACCCTTCACTATCTTCCCTCTCCTTCATTACCTTCACTACCCTTGACCCCTTCTCTACCTTTCACAAACTCCCCAATTAGCCGGGTGGATCAATCTTAGTGAGCATGGAGTCAGGTATTTAGTGAGACTGGAAATTGGTATTATTTGCCATTACATAGAGAGAGGAAGCATAGGCGTCGACCCCAGTCCACCTTTGTCCAGCCCCAAACAACCAACAGCCATCACGGCAAAGTTTGGTGAGGCTGGCCCCGAACGTCCGGCCTCCAGCCTCGAAGAGACAAACTATACATACATATATATATATATACCTCAGACAGTATGGGCTCCAGGTCATCGCCGAAGAGGCCGTGCACGAAGTAGAACCTGGACCTCCGCACCGCCACACGTATGTCGAAGTACCTGACGAAGGGCGTCACCATCATGCACCAGCACGGGAGAAAGTGATCACATAAGAGAAGCAAGATTAACTGTACAGATACCATAAACGAGTCTATTGTTTAACTCGTCCTCATCCTAAATACAGTCATATGTGTACCCAAGGTATAGAACCGTTCAAAAATGGATGGATTTCAAGAAAATGGTTGCAAAAGAATTTTTCACTGTCGCCGACAAAATTCAGTCATGTAGCATCTTGTTGTATAGATTAGAGAAGCGTTCTTAAGTTTCTAGGTTTATAAGCAGATTTAAATGTAAATCATAATAATAGGCGCGTCCATTAGAAGAACTTGTGTAGAGTTCACTCATGGAGTGTGGAGGCGCCCCTGGCGAGAGTGTGGGATAGTGACCAGGGGGGCGGGACGCACCTGTGGGGTAACGGCATCACCCCCACATTATCACCTCCGCAAGGTCGGGTGTTGTGGCAACAGTTAAAGTGAGGACACACAGCGCGGGGATATAACAGCAGTGAGAATATAATGATAGAATGAGAAAAAGGATGAAACGTCAACAAAATGATTAAGGAATATATATATTTTGTAAGTTAAGACAGGTGGTTAATTATAACCGCTTATAATTAATTAGTGGTGCTACATAGCCTTCCCGGTTTGGTGCCTTCCTTTGATAATTAATTACATATAATTAATTAAAATTAATTATATATTATAAACATTATATATATGTCTAGACTTGAATTTGTGTGAGGTGTTGTACCCAGTAGCGGAGCGCGGAGTGAAGGTTGGCTTGTGTGGGAGTTGATTTATTACGGCATAATTCACCCTCGTGAAACATTTATCACCAGGAAAACTGTCTACAGAAATATGAATAAAAACCTAAAATTACACTAAAAAAATTAATAAAAATCATATCTTAAAATAAATATCCTTAAACCATATTATATATCGTGGAATACAATAAAATATTGCCACCAAAATAGTAGTACTTCTCCAGCAGGTAATGGAGTTAAGACTCCCAGTGAAGAGTAACTGTAATAAGCCTTAACACAGTAATGCCACCAGAGTTATGGCTATAACAGAGAGACAACACGCAAGACGGAGCCCATAAAGACCGCCACAATTAGCAACCATGACAGGAACTGACGTACATTTCATTAAGAAATCAATTCAGGAATTTTGGGTATTTATTTCCAAACGCAAATTTTTGTTTCCACAGTATCGAAGACGCCGTCTTGAGAGGAGGATGCCACTCTCGGGAGAAAGCCACTTGGACTGAACGGTAGAGAGACGGTCTCGCTTCTTGCAAGTCTGCGTTCAATCCCCGACCATCCAAGTGGTTGGGCACTATTTCTTCCCTCCGTCTCATCCTAAATCCTTATTCTCATTCCTTCCAAGTGCTACATAGTCGTGATGGCCTAGCGCTTTCTCCTGATAATTACCTCTCAGGAGAAAGCTTTAAACTTAAGCTGCACTTTCAAAGAAGTAACAATACGATAGTAACGTTACAGTAAACTTGACGTTACCTGATATATTTATTTTAAGGCTGTTTGAAGACAACTCTAGGCTTTATTAAGCTAAAAATCCATTGTGACAAATTATATGAGAGGTGCAAAAATAAGTTGAAGTACAGGAAGGTACAGGTTATGAGGTTTCCTGTACCTGGAGGTACAGGAAGAGGAAGGTCCCTGGAGGTACAGGAAGAGGAGGGTCCCTGGAGGTACAGGAAGAGGAGGGTCCCTGGAGGTACAGGAAGAGGAGGGTCCCTGGAGGTACAGGAAGAGGAGGGTCCCTGGAGGTACAGGAAGAGGAGGGTCCCTGGAGGTACAGGAAGAGGAGGGTCCCTGGAGGTACAGGAAGAGGAGGGTCCCTGGAGGTACAGGAAGAGGAGGGTCCCTGGAGGTACAGGAAGAGGAGGGTCCCTGGAGGTACAGGAAGAGGAGGGTCCCTGGAGGTACAGGAAGAGGAGGGTCCCTGGAGGTACAGGAAGAGGAGGGTCCCTGGAGGTACAGGAAGAGGAGGGTCCCTGGAGGTACAGGAAGAGGAGGGTCCCTGGAGGTACAGGAAGAGGAGGGTCCCTGGAGGTACAGGAAGAGGAGGGTCCCTGGAGGTACAGGAAGAGGAGGGTCCCTGGAGGTACAGGAAGAGGAGGGTCCCTGGAGGTACAGGAAGAGGAGGGTCCCTGGAGGTACAGGAAGAGGAGGGTCCCTGGAGGTACAGGAAGAGGAGGGTCCCTGGAGGTACAGGAAGAGGAGGGTCCCTGGAGGTACAGGAAGGGGAGGGTCCCTGGAGGTACAGGAAGGGGAGGGTCCCTGGAGGTACAGGAAGAGGAGGGCCATGGAGGTACAGGAAGAGGAAGGTCCCTGGAGGTACAGGAAGAGGAGGGTCCCTGGAGGTACAGGAAGAGGAGGGTCCCTGGAGGTACAGGAAGAGGAGGGTCCCTGGAGGTACAGGAAGAGGAGGGTCCCTGGAGGTACAGGAAGAGGAGGGTCCCTGGAGGTACAGGAAGGGGAGGGTCCCTAGAGGTACAGGAAGAGGAGGGTCTCTAGAGGTACAGGAAGAGGAGGGTCCCTGGAGGTACAGGAAGAGGAGGGTCCCTGGAGGTACAGGAAGAGGAGGGTCCCTGGAGGTACAGGAAGAGGAGGGTCCCTGGAGGTACAGGAAGAGGAGGGTCCCTGGAGGTACAGGAAGAGGAGGGTCCCTGGAGGTACAGGAAGAGGAGGGTCCCTGGAGGTACAGGAAGGGGAGGGTCCCTAGAGGTACAGGAAGAGGAGGGTCTCTAGAGGTACAGGAAGAGGAGGGTCCCTGGAGGTACAGGAAGAGGAGGGTCCCTGGAGGTACAGGAAGAGGAGGGTCCCTGGAGGTACAGGAAGTATGGCAGTGACTTGGAGCTGTGGTTAGGGTTTTGGACTCTAGTTCAGCACACACACAAATAATAGTCCTGCTGTATACAACATCTGAAGTGAGACAACCTCTTGACAACCTTAAACACGATAACAAGAATTCTGTCCCAATGGCACTATAGAGGTTCTCCATTATCACAGGTATTTGTGGTGCACTTGAGTATGTCTAACATAGCAGGGCTGCTCTTATGACAGCTTCCTGCATCACCAGTCAGTCATCACCCTCACCGCTCCCACTTGCAAGCATTTGCTTTTTCTGGCTTCTACCAGTTTTAGATTTAGCCTGATGATCATGCATGCTTGTTGCCAGTCTGAGAACACATCTGAACACCTCCAGCACCTCGTCGACACATTGTTCACAGTTATATTGATTGATTGAGGGATTGATTGAGAGGAGTATAGGTGTCACCTGATGCCGTGTCTGAGCTGGTCGGTGACGGAGGCCCGCTGAGTGACGCACCAGCGGAGGATGGCGGGGCGAGCCACACACGGCATGCACGAGTCTAACTGCGAGATGAGGCCCGGGGCGTCGGGACCTACTTCCTCGCCCTCCGTCAAGCTGTAGCTGAAGGAGTCGTGGGAACCTGTAGGAGGACCAAGAGGTTGTGTCACATGTGTGTGTGTGTGTGTGTGTGTGTGTGTGTGTGTGTGTGTGTGTGTGTGTGTGTGTGTGTGTGTGTGTGTGTGTGTGTGTGTGTGTACAGGGAGTCATCAGAGTTTAGACAGGTACCGTACAAGTCTCGATTTATAAGTAATACAATAAATAGTAAAACTGTTCGCCACTTGGACTAGTTATGCTACTTATTTGGCCTCATTTATATTATAAAGCTTAGTTTTGAGCACCGTATTATGCAGTGAACTTAGTCCTTAAACAATGGACGTAGAAGAATGATAAAATTAATTACAGAAATTAAGAACCTGTCTTATGAAGAGAGATTAAGGAAGCTTAATTTGCCTTCACTAGATATGTATAGAGGAAAGTGTGACATGACTGAAGTATATAAATAAAGCGCACAAGATGAGTACTTATAAGGTGCTAAATATTTCAACACTAATACTAACACACACTGATGGATACAGAAGGAGTAAGCTTACACTCAGATAATTGTGTAAATACTGCTTTGTAAATTTATAGAGCAGGTTGCCGGGAAACGTAATTAACGTGGAGCCGCTGGATTGTTTCAAGTGAAGGTTAGACAAATATACAAGTATGAATAGTTGGGTATAAATGTGAGCCGACTCGAATGTGCCAATACATTTTCTGCACACTCTCTAATTCTTTCTGCACACTCTAAAATTCTTTTGGCCATGCTATCAAATGGTTGGTTGAGTGGCGTACCCTGGCAACACGTCACTGCAAATGACGCGCGCTAAGCGTTCATGTGACGGCAGCTTTTACAATCACTACGCCTTTTATATTGTGGCTTGTTTACACCGGTCATGGCGAGACCTCACGCACGCACACCGCCACTATACTCCTGTGGAGTTGATGATGGCCTTGGCTGCGTCACCCGTGTGTGGGACATACGCCACCCTCCCCAGTAAGTGCTGAACGAGGTCTGTCAACCCTCAACTGTCTCAACCCTCCACCATATACGACACAAATTAAAGGATTATATTTATATTTCCAAAACTAAAACAAGTTGGAAAATATGTATCGCTTAAGGCGTATAGGCTTGGTGGTCAACTTTAGGATGCCGCCGCGACCTGCCACTGTCCCACAGGTAAGGTGCACACTAAGTCCCTTTGTGGAGATAAATGACTGCACATTTACACGTATCATTCAGTTGTAAGTGCATTCTTTTATCCGTGCCTAGTACGTGGCCTAGTCACGCCTGTCAACTTCTAGAGGGTTATTAAGGTCGCCACAGTAACTTACTGACACACCAGCAAATATGCCTTGATGCTGAACATTGGTCAAGGCTAAAGTAAACTGTCAATGCATCTACACCTAGAAGTGGGGTACACATCTCGGTGTACTGGTCCGCGTCTTTTACAGTTTCAGTTGTCACGTTTGTTCTCCGGCGGGGAAATACTGTCACAGTGGTGAGGAAGCTTGACAGCACACCTCACCTCACACAGTGTAGACCATTACACCATGAACGCCTCGCTTCTCTGGAAAACTTGACTAAATAAGGGTTTTTAGTTTTAGAGTAATGGTGTAGAATAGTGCGACCTCTCGGGGTTAGCATTTACACTTAACTCACACTCACTACTTTACTCCCGTGCATACCTGTGTTGTTAACCTGGCGCCTAATGCATATATATTGGGGCGTGGTCGCTCACACACGACCACAGCCACAGTATTGGACCTCACTGTAGGTGAGGTCGCCCGCTCCTCTACCACGCCCTGTATATCACCTTGTATTACACATGGTTATTGGCTGTCTCTGTGTACGAGTGGATTAACTACACATTGAGATATATACAAGAGTTGTTACATTCTTGTACAGCCACTAGTACGCATAGTGTTTCGGGCAGGTCCCTGGAATACAATCCCCTGCCGCGAAGAATCGTTGTTACAACCAAGTACACATTTTACTGTTGAGTTAAACAGAGGCTACAGTTAAGGATTTGCGCCCAGTAGATCCTCCCCGGCCAGGATACAAACCCATGACAGCGCTCGCGGAATGGCAGGCGAGTGTCTTACCACTACACCACGGAGACTACATCATTGTATTCCTGTGTATCTTGGTATAGTAGAGAAGCTAAGGTAATTATGAAGATAAAGCACTAAGCCAGTCCAAACAAAATAGATTTTTCTTATATAATAATGCTGTTATTCAATTAGCCATTAGTATACCAGCCGCCATTTTTGTCTCATTAAGTCGAGCCAATGACGTGGTTAATTGTACTGGGCTAATCACCATTAGCCCTTCTACACGTGGAAGACCTGTTGGTGGTTCCCTTCAACCCTAACCTTCTCGCTCATTAACACCAACCACGGGTTGAATATCATGGCGAATTACCTGTCATTAACGGTGTTTTGACTCAGGGGAGGGGGGGGGGGTAGCTCCATTACCTTGGGTCGTATTGTCTTAACATCAGCAAGTACTCATAATTCTAACAGTTTCAGTTACTGTTATAACTCTAATTATTGTATGTGACGCCAGAGAAGGTGGCTCTCCCGACACAAGTTATCAGACAGGTAGTGGATAACTTTTTGAGTTGGAGAGTGACGGTCAACCCAGCCGGTGATCTTGGGGTAAGAATGAGGTCATCGGCCACGGGCTGGAGGTGAGGTCACAGTGCTCGGTGACGTCTGCGTGTCCTGTTATTACCATTCCCAGGATGTAAGTGGCCCGCTGCTTCGTGTTCTGGTTTTGTAACTGACAATTGCTTCGTGTTATGTCGTGTTACATTAACCTGACATAAGTGTCACTTGCTTCGTGTCACTTGCTTCATAAGTGTCAACCTGTGTTGGCACTTATGAAGCAAGTGCCAACCCATCCTCCTGATAAGATAGTACTTTTTGTAACTATGTACAATGGTACACATATCGACGACAAACAGAAAGTACAATTTGATACTATTTATTTTATTGACTGTAAAAAAATGAAGTTAAAAGCAAACTTAAATATTCTTAGGCCTCAGATAGCGCGCATTAGGCCTAGGATGGTTAGGTTAGGCTTCATTACCAACATATATAGACAAACTTTTCCGCTTTGTCCAAATTCAGAAATACAATCAGTCTACTTTCTATTGGTCCGTCCGGTCCATAACAGTACGGTCACCCACACTGTTACTACAAGTACTTTTATATAGGAGGATGGACTGGTCTGAGACACTGTTAGTCGTCTTCTGGTAGAGCAAAGTGTATGTTAATGATAACAGTGGTGGGTCAAGAGGTGCTATAGATGGTACAGTGGTGGGCCAAGAGGTGCTATAGCTGGTACATATAACATTTTAGGAGTATTTCCGGGTTCAATAGAATGCATTACCATCATTTCCAGTTTAGCGAGAGTGTTATGGGTCGCTGGGAAGGTCATTGGTGAGTTGGGCAGGTGTTGTGCGGGTATTGTGCAGGTGTTGAGGAGGCTGTCAGCGTGTTGGGGCCAGCAGCCCATAAACACCTGACGGACCAGACGCAAGACCTCAGCAATGACTGACACGTGTCACCACCTTAGTCATGACAGGTGTCACCACCTTAGTTATGACTGACAGGTGTCAGAACACGTGTCACTTCCACTCACTCATTAGACACGTGCAACACGTATTGACAATTTCTTTGAGAATTACTGATCTGTTTCCAGTCGTCGGTATAAAATAATTGATAACTTCGAACATGTGTTATTCCTCCGTGACTAACACCAGGAGGCTTCGGTTGATCGTGACATTCCAGCGTCAGAGATCTCGCGGATACTTTGGTTCCTCCTTGGCACGTGTCAAGTGTCTAGCTCATTTTAATTCGTAACTAAATTATCATAATATCACCTTTTCCAGTCTGTCATTTTGTCAGAAGTTATTCATATTTTCTCGCCATTCAAAATGTTGATTTTATTACTGATGGGGTAATGAGGCAGTTGACACACTCTCTCTCTCTCTCTCTCTCTCTCTCTCTCTCTCTCTCTCTCTCTCTCTCTCTCTCTCTCTCTCTCTCTCATACACAACCAACAAACAATATGACCACAACATTATTGTTATTATCTATACTGTGATGCAGGGTTGTAATAACGTTGGTAACACCTGAAATAAATTTTGAAACAACTCTGTGGAAAACCAAACCCTTATTTCAGATCCAACTAATCAAGAAGTAGATCCAATCCTACTTAATTAAGAAGGGCATGTGAGTCGACCCTCCCTCCCCCCACCACCACAACACGTCCCATATAACCACAACTCATCATGGAAAGTTACGTGAGACTAACCGTAGGCGTCTGGTCTACAACCTCACACACACACACACACACACACACACACACACACACACACACACACACACACACACACACACACACTCACTCACACACACACACACACACACACACACACTCTTCTTTGATACATATAGATTTAAAATTAAATTGCGAAGTTTATGCTTCGAAGTTTATGTTTAATGCACATCAAATGTGCATTATTTTTCATCGTTATTTCTTGTTAAGGGATCTAATGTATAATTGTTTACAATTACTTTTGTTTAATTGTTACTTTAAAGTTGCTCTGATCAAATATTTAAAGCATTTATTTATTATTTAATTATAGGTAAGAGTTCACACCACCATCGCATCGACAATTACTACCACCACCACTACTCCTTCCCCGCCACCACCACTACCACTATCACCACCACCACCATTGCAGCCAGTACTACCACTATCACCACATCACCAGCCCACCGCTATTATCCCCTCCCCCGGTCACAACACTCACCACCACTATCATCACCACCACATTCCCCACTAACCCTCCCCCCCCACTCCACACCCCCAGCACTGACCCCCCCCCCACTCGTGGCACCAGGCAGGTGACCTCGGTCACACATAATAACAGACACTATACTTCTTACTCTCCGCCAGAGCCGCGTGCGTGTCGCGGGTACATATTGACCACTTGGTGTGGGGGCGCCGCCCCCTCTTCTCACCCC